GGATCCCCAGAAGCTGGAGATACAGTTGATTGTGCACCACCTTATGTGTGCTGGGAACCAAATCTGAGTTCTCTTGAGCAAGAAGTCCTCTAACCACTGGGCCATATTTCTAGTCCACTGGTTATTCCTATTCTTCAGGAAGAAAATAACAGTAAGGCTTGGATTGTAACTCAAGACTTGTAAGAGTTTATCCTGGTGATAGTGTAACAAAAATCACCCAGCTGAATGGGAACTGTATAGTGCTTATCATGTAGTCAGTGTAAGCATAATTCTGAATAAATGCTGGTTACTTCTAAGTGATTGTTCATTTCCAGAAAGCTTGCCTTGATACTGGCTGTGCTACTCTGTTTAGGGCAGTCAGTGGCTGCTGCATGCAGTCTGTGTTTCCTAGGGAGGCAGGGAACAGATGAAGAGGACAGCATCTGAAGGGGGCTCACATTCACTTCCTTCTTCCTGGCTCGTGGAGCCAGGGCCGGCTATGGAATGGGAACATAGCAGTGGTTCAGAAAGTTAAATTGAGCAAGTTGCTAAGACGGATGGAGCCGGACTTGAATTGTATACAGCCACCTTCCTGGAGGGGCTGTTTCGCCGCTTTATTCCTTTAAACCAGATGGCTGTGTGTTCCCCTTTACTCTAGAGTTATCAGTAGAATGCACACTTTTGTGGGTTTTACAAGTTGTCCCACAGTAATTTTTACTTTTTTTGCACGTTGCTTTAGGCGTAATTGTAACCTTTATTTTCTTTAATCTGTGTCTGTGCCCAAATAGATTGTACCTTTGTGAATTGTGACCAGTCTGTAATATTGTGGGTGTAAATAGCGAAGTAAAGTGTATTGTTCACCACTCTCTAACTTGTAGCAAAGCTTTGAGAGCAGCAGTGTCACCACGGGTGCCTCACTCGGCTGACGAGCTCTGATAGCCTCGCTGGGTGGAAATAATGTAATAACCATTTGCCAGGCTGGCTTTACAGAGTATTATTTCCTTGGCCTTTTTAAAACTGAAGGTAACTCTGTACACAGCAACCAGAACCAGTTTCCTTCTGTTTTTGTTGTTGCTGTTTGTTCGTTTGGTTGGTTGTTTTTCTTTTTCTTTTTTTTTTTTTTTTTTTTTTTTGCCCCTGTCCTCCAATCCCCCCAGCTCTTGCTTCCTTTGCCCCAAATTGAAAGTCATATTTGGCAACTTGTCTTTGTTGGGTGGTTTTCCTTAATGTCTGTCCCATGTATTTGTCTGACACGTTAGTTGGGCCTAGTTGAGGCCTTCATACAGAGCCTGCTTGACTGTAAAGGCTTGCTTCTCTCCTCAGTGTCCTCAAATTAATCATTATTCTGAGAAAAGAGGAAACTCTTGCATCTGGACAAACTGGCAGGCCGTTCAGGCCTTGCCTCCCTCCAGCCTGGAGGCTACAGGGCTTTGACTAGCCAGGCCTCACCAAATTGAAAAGCCCTCTTGAATGGCAGCCTGCCACAGTTAGTGTTTGTCAGTGTGGGCACTGAGGCAGAAGAGTGAGCACAGGGGTGATGGGAAGGCTGGCTGGAGGGGAGAACAAAGCTGCTGGTTTTCAACCCTGCTGTCCGGGTGGAGCTGCACCCTGTGCGAGTCTTTCAAACAGACGCCCTGAGTAGTGTGCCATCCACACTGGGCAACCCCTGGCCCAGCCTCACAACCCACGTCTCAGCTCAGTGTCTGCTTCGGGGAGGGACATGTTAGTTGTGTCATGGGGACCTGCGGGAGGTTTGTTAATGGGCAAATGAAAAGCAACTGCTCTGCTTGTCTGTGACTGAAGACTGCCAGTCATCCTGTTAGACGTCGTGATGGAGAAGAACAAGACCGGGCTCCAAATGTGTCTGTTAACCTGAGAGGACAGGTGCTCCCCACAGGGTCACTTGCCTGCACTTACTTGCATTCTGTCAGCAGTTGTTATCTTGCACAGCTGTGGCCACATGTTCATCTCTCGTACCACAGTGTTCTCTGAGGTCAGTACCACGGCTGCAAACAAGGGAAGCAAAAGCTGAGACCACCACAGAAGTTAGAGTCTATGGGAACCATCTCTTTCTGGCTGTGGTGTTTGGTTTAAATTTGTAGAAGCACAAATAATGTAAGCAAATGTTAGAACTACACTCATTACCAATGGAGTATATTCAGCAACTAAACCCTAAAGATTTAGGGCATGCCATATGATGTGTGGGATCATTGTTACTAATGCTAATTAAATAAATGTTAACCTCGGAGCTCTGTGACTCCCAAGAACTCTGTATTATGCAGGTACCATTTTTGTATGAAAAGCAAAGTACCTCTTCTACTAACCATATGAGGTAAAATATTTGGCACTAATAAACTTGACTGTCTGGCTGGACATGGTGGCACACATATTTAAAGAGATATGTCTTAAAAATAGTTTATGATTTCTTTCTAAAACTTCCCTGGCATTAAATAATCACTGTATGATCTGATTTTGGAAATTGTTTCTGGGGTAGGGGCAAGGGCTGTACTACTGACCTATACCTCCAGACTTTCTTTTTCTTTTGTTTTTTGAGGTTATTTTATTGTATTTGTATACATGTGTAGCAGGTCTGTGCAGAGGCCAGAAGAGGGCATCAGATCTGTGGAACTGGAGGTGGTTGTGAGCCAGCAAGTGGGTGCTGGGACACAAAACCTAGGTACTCAGCAAGAGCAACAAGTACCTTTAACCCCTTAGCTGTCTTTCCAGCCTCTTCATTTTATTTTTATAAATATTATAGACCCTGAATTAATCATAGAGGACCTATAAATTTTATACTTCTTTAAATATGTTTCTGAAAGGTTAACATCTTGATGTATCATGCTAATAATCAATCATATTAAACATTTTGGAAGTTTAAAATGCTCTCAGAATTCTATATTGCAGATTTCATGCTCAGATTTGGGGTAAGAGTTCTCCTTGTAATAACATTGAACTCTAAGGTATGACCCTCACAAAATAACAGTACTGATGCTTTAGTTCAGTGGTTTTCAACCTGTGGGTCATGACCCCTTTGGGGGTCACATATCAGATATCCTGTATATCAGATACTTACATTATGATTCATAGCAGTAGCAAAATTACAGTTATAAAGTAGTAATAAAATAAAATAATTTTATGGTTGGGGTCACTACAACATGAGGAACTGTATTAAAGGGTCTCAGCATTTTGAAGGAACTGGAGAATGGTCATTTGTCTTTCTCCAAGGCCATGACCAGGGAAACATACATGTGAAGTTTTAAATGTCTACATTTGATTCTTCAAATCTTCTGTGAATTAATTATCTGCTGCAATTGAAGTGAACTTGTAGTTTTTTAGACATGTACAATTCCTGAAAAATATCCAGGAGGATTATTTCTGACTGGATTGAAAGCTTACATTTGTATTGTGGTATAAACTCGTTAGAAGTTTTGTTTTATTATATTCATTCCCCTGTATTGTTTTCATCAGGCAATTTATCACATGGCTGTATGTGAAATTTCTTCATTTATTAAATTTCAGATTATGTATTTCAAGCCCGAGCAAGACCTAAACATTTTCCCTGTAAGTGTAGCTTCAGGTAAACAAGCAATTTTAGCCCCGAAAATAGCTCCTGCTCTGTCAACATGCTGCTTATTTTTTCTCTGAGATAAAAAGTTCAGTTTTCTGATATTTGTACCAAGATAAAGTCAGTAAACAAGATTAATATAGTGTGGAAAAGGTTGTCAGCAGCCCTGGCAAAGGAAATAAGTTGCCTGTACATAGAACATACTGTAAACTGAATAAAAGTGTCAGGTCCGCCATGAGATAATGTGATCATGGACGTCTAACAAACCATGACACGGGCCCAGGCGGCTTTTCTCACAGCTCCAGGGTAGAAAATGGATTACTGTGTTCCAGGGATACCTGCTGGAATAACATGAAGTTGTACTCCGAGATGAATGTGGGATGTGGCCCTGGAGCAGAGCCAAGTCTTACATGTGGCCACCCTGGACATATCACTGTCACCCCCTGCTCACTGGCTCTCTTTGGGTTTCTGGAAGTGTCAGAGTAGGTACTGGCATCCTTGTTACTCAAGGGTTACAAGAAGAAAGTTTCCCAAAACGGTTTTTTTGTTTTGTTTTTTAGGCCATGCTTTTTTTTATTCTGTTGTGGTTTCATGGCTCTTGTATAAGAAAACAGGCATGGCTTTCATTGTGAGGGAGCAGGACTCAGAGTCCTTTGCTGTAAGTTCATGCCTTGGTGATGGCAGATTCATCCATCTGAGAACTTTGGGTATGACAGGAATGCTGTGAGGTTCATCACAGACTTGAGCAGTTGACACTGTAGATGAAACAATTGATATTTTCTTGTTGAATTTCTAATGTTATATAGACATAGAGGAACAAATGTTCTTCCTATTTGCTAAATGCTAAAATTATATTTTACTCAATATAACTACCCTCGTAATTCCTTCCTTTGTGGAAAATATATAGAAAAGACCATTCACTGCTCCTTTGACAGAAGTGCTTGTACTGCCTGAATTTGTGCATCATAATGCAAACTTCTGTGTTTAGAAATCTACCACAGAAGTGGAGTTCATAAAAGCAGCATCTGCTGGGGAGTGATGAGGTTGAACCTCTCCTCACCTGGGGTGGACAGTCACTGCTCTGTTCTTCAGCATGGTGTTTACACTATGGGAAAGATGCTCTGGCAGTGTCTTAAAAATCTCGAGTAACTCCGTTAGACCAACAAGATCTCTGGAAAGATTTATTTTCTTTATGGAGGCCCAGGAGCACTTCTGATCCCCAGGAGTTGTTGTGTCAGGTGGGTGCTAGGCACCGAGGTCAGGGCGTGATTGCTCTCCATCCCTCACAGGACCATTCTTACCCAGATTTCTGCTCCTTGCCATTTTGTCTTGGATTTGAAAATTAATCTTCTTTTCTCCATTTATAAAGATATCTTCAGATTGTTACAGCCCTGCCCTGTCTATAGCAAGCCAACTGTGACCTGTTTTTGTCATTTGTTTTAAAATCTCTTTTCAGACGTCTGCTCCTGGCCCCGTCAGTAACAAGAGGATGGTTCACTTTTCTCCAGATGCCCATCACCATGAGTGAGTGTTCATGTTCCTGCAGCTTGCTGGGTTATTCCACTTGTTTCTCTTAAGAAACTGGGTGACTATTTCTGAGTGACAGCAGTTTAATTTGTGCCTGCTTTAAAAGCATAAGGCACACAGTGGTAACAGTATAAGAATAGCTGAAATGGAGCCCATGACAGTCACAGAAGGACTTGTAAATACATTCTTTATATTGATAGAGTTCGAAATTCATGCCGTATTTATTCCCTGAAATCCAGGCTGTATCTAAAAGCATTTAAATCTTTATGAAGTTGACCTCACCGAGCCTGTACCCCAGCCCTTCTGTGATGCCAGCATGAATGCCAAATGGCCCATCTTCCTGATGCTTCTCCACTCCCAGCTTCTGCCTGGCTAGCCTTTGCTTATCACAGTGAAGATCTATAATGAAACCAAAATGTATATTCTTTAGCAACAAAAGAAATGGCCCACTAGGTAACTTTAGAGAGCTAAACAGTTATATTACTTTAGTAAACTATAGGTGGGATTTTGGGAAGGGGACCTCAATTGTAAATAGTCTTGTTGAAAAAGCCTATGTTATGTGTGGTAGTTTGATGTCATTTGTCTCCTCTGCCATCTGCAGTTGGTTGAAATTGCCACCTGTGAGAGAAGAAAAGGCATGAGTTCATTAAAACAATAAAAATAATAATAAATAAATAAATACAATAATAAATAAATAAATAAATAAATAAATAAATAAATAAATAAATAAAACAATAGTCTTACTAAGATCTGTTAATATTGGCTTTCTTTTTAAAAACAAAAACCAAAACAAACAAAACCAATTGCGGCCTAAATAGAAAATTAACAATTGTTGAGGCATAGCAAAATGATAACAGAATCTCCCTGTTTTCTTGCTTGATGTGATGAAGCTTTAAAAATAACCCTCAGGTAACAGCCAAATGTTGTATAGAGGTTCTGTATTAATTTTGTTTGTTCAACTACCAAGCTTAGGTAAGTAGATGTGGCACTACTTAACATAAAACTCTTCACTAGATGCAGAGTGTAGATGCTCTGCGGGCAGGGGATGCTTTCCTTATTGCTGCTGCACTCCTGTGCCAGCCCAGGGCCTGACAGGGAAGATGCTCAGTCAGAGTTGTTGAGTGCCTGAAGACCCCAAGTGCTGATTTAAACTAGGGAACACTGACCTGGCTGTGGGCCATGGCAGTGTACCCATCCCAGCACATGGAAAGTGGAGGCAGAAGGATCAAGAGTTTAAAAGGACATGTGTGGCTATTTAACAGGTTTGGGGCCAGCCTCAGCTTGATAAGACCCTGTCTCAAAAACTGTAATGAGTAGATACGTAAATAGGAAAGAACAGGATGGGGCCAACTGCCGTGTTGCCTCTAAATTCACAGGACTTACTCTGAGTGTCCTCTGTCTTCTCCACCCCGGGATCTCCAAGGTTCTCAGTCAGTGAAGACCCTTCAGGGGTAGAGCACAGAGGTGGTTATGTTACTCTTCCCTTGTGTGAGGATTGCCACTGGTTCACCACATAGGACTCAAATCTCTAATTTCACTTCCTGCCTTCTCCATGTCTCTAGTCCAGGTCCCAGTGTCTCTCCTGACCTGTTCTTTCCCATTTCCTACCCCATTGCCTTCTTTATTAACTTTTATGTCAATGAAGCGTCCCAGTGGACCCCTCAGTCTCTGGCTTTCCATGGTTCCAGGGCATAGTACTTACTGTGTGACTCAGGTTCAGATCCAGTCATGTTACTTCATATCCCCACTGGTGTCTGCCGCCAGTGGACACCCTGACAGTCATGGACAGACGTCCTGCACAGCCAAGCCTGTTATTCTTCTATCACCGTCTTTCCATTCTCTGCCCATAACCTTCAGATGAGTTCTGCTCCTATTCTCGGAGTGTCTCCTGTTTTCACCTCCACTGCCTGTGGCCCTGGGATTGGCTCCTGTGTTCTCTCCTAGGATAGTTGTCAGGACTCTGAACAAACTTCTGTCAGTCTGGGCCAGGTACAGACGTAAACCAACATAGTTTGGATTTGTTTTATTTTTGTTTTTCTTCAGATTTATCTTTCCTCTTTTGTTTTCTCACATAAGGTGAAAAGGGGGCTTTTGAAAAGCTTAAAGATACTGACTGGGGCAGACTGCTTCTGCTTCTCCTTTGCCATCTGTAGTCCTTGCTAGGCTGCTGTAACAAAGCCCCACAAATAGATGGCTGGAAGCCCCAGGTCTGATGCCAAGCTGTCTGTAGGGTTAGCTCCCGCCTGCATCTCTGCGGGCCTCCCCCCAGCCGCATCTTCAGCGAGCTTTTCCCTGTGCTGCTCCTTTTCTGAATTTCTCCTTTATAAGGCACCAAGGCAGACAAATAAGACGTTTCATAATGTCACACTGGACTGCGGCCGTGCCTCGCTGACCTCATTTTACCTTGTGTCTGTAGAGAGCCTATATCCAGACAAGGTCCTTTTTTGGATTATGATATTAGGACTTCATACTGTCTTTTGCAGGAACACAATTCTGCCAGTAACATTGCCATCATTGTCCTTTTCTCTTATGTCCTCATGTTTACTGTCTCCTGGTTTGGAGATGACTGCTTCTGGTCCTCAGCTACTCTGCTCTGGAGAGGGTAGTGCCAGCAGCTCCCCTTTTCACCTTCCAGCAAGAGAGCTTCTCGTGCTGTGCACTCTCCCATCTCCCCTTCGTGCCCATTGACCAGAATCAGAATACTTGGTTGTCATGGCTTAAGGAAAACCAGGAAAGAAGATATGTAGTCAAGTTCCAGACAGGTAATAACTCTGTAGGTGGGCAGAGTTACCTCTAACAATCAAGCCTGAGAAGGAGATACTGTCCAGCAAGTAGCTACTGACAGTTTATCATGCCCAGGCCATTGTCTCTGCACCATGCCCATGTTCTGTTCTTTCCAAACATACACAGTGTGTAGAATACCCTAGCCTTCCCTCGAAGAGACTTCTTTCAGATCCCATGTGGTTGATACTCCATCTCTCTCAGACTCTCATCCAGGACCTCTGAACGATACAGATGGTTAATTAGATCTGCTCGTGGATCCTCTTTGTAAAGCAGCTTATGCACTTGTACATAAGCAGATGCACACATGTGCAGTATAGAGGTGTGGAGAAGGCAGGCCATCTCAACAGAAGATGAGGATTCCGCTTAGGAACGCCTTGCTTACTGCCCAGCTTGCACAGGCAGTTTGAGCAGCATTCCCCAGAGAGGACACTGCTTTGTAGGAGCAGCTGTTAAGACTGTAGTAGCAGGTGTCATCCCAGGCTGCTGCATAGGTAGAGCCACACATTTCTCTGTGGGAAAGTCGGGAGTTCATCATAGACTGCTGGTGGCCAAGTACGCGGTTGCTTGGCCTTTCTGCAGACACTCCGTTGGTTTCTCTTGTTTTCCATTCCACACTAGCAGACAGTACTGCTTCCATGTGTCCTGTGTCCTTCCCTAGTCTGTCCCCTGAAGCATTCCATCTTGTGGTAGTGCATGCTGACCTCCAGGGGCAGGTATGAGTCTAGCAGTTCTTGTCCACAGATGCTCAGTCGTCTTGGGGGGAGTGTTCTAGTGAGTGGTTTAACCCCTGCGCAGCAGCTCTAGTTGTGTGAAGCCCAGACGTGCTAACCAGAGCTCCTCACCCGCTGCCTCTTTTCAGACTGCCTTTCTAGTCTTCGGTTCTTGAGGAGGATGGCAGACTCTTCGCTTTCTTTTTCATGATGCTTGGTAGTTAAAAGAAAACACAACTGCACATCTAGAATGGCATCCAGCCGGAAGTTACTTGAATTAGTTGTCCTGAGACGTCCCTTCCTGATGCTTAGACAGGAATCTAGGGAATCCATGAATTAATCCTCACTGCAATTTACCTTACAACTCAAGAACCTGTAGGAAAACAGGAAGCAGTCATTAACCTGCTAAATATCTTCAAACTCTGTATTAAAGTGATGGCTATTGTTTTTATTCCATTAAGGGTTCCTCTTAATTTTTGGTTTTAAGCCAGGCCTTGTTGAACATGACTGTAACCCCTATACTCAGAAAGGCTAAGGCAGGAGGATTATAAATTCAAGACTGACCTGGACTATTAGTAAAACTTGGTAATTTTTTTAAGTGTTTTGTTTCTTTGTTTTGTTGTTTTTAACTTTCTCTATAAAATCTCCGAAGATATCTTATAGAAACAGTTTAGCTTGTGGTGCTGGCTGGGGAGATGGTGTGGTGGAGAAAGTGCTTGCGGCACAGGTGTGAGGACTCCCCAAACTCGTGCCCACACCCTTATCAACATGCACACGTCCATTCGAGCACCACTCCCACAAACGTGAAAATACGTAGTTTCACTTGTCAAAGTTAAGGTTAGAACAGAGTTGACTAAATAGAGTGAGTTACTGTGCGGGCTCAAAAGCTTGAAGGGTTTTCAGTTTGGAATGATTGTTGTTAGAGGATCACAGCTCCCCGTGTCCTGTCTCTGGGCCTGGCTGTGTAGAAAGAGCTGGGAAGGCATGGGAGGAGCCTCCCAGCTGGAGAAGGGAAAGTTGCTTTCAGGGTTCAGAGGCCAGTGGCAGTAGGCTACTCTATAGAGAACATGGGCTCACCACAAGTAGTGGAGGCTGGTCAATAAAGGTGTAGATAAGGGGTGGACTGCAGCTCAGAGCTCCTACGTCCGTGCGTGACATCCTAGGTTGTTCTATTACTTCAATGGCTACATAAATAAATACTGTAAAATAACATTTCAAGATAATTTCCATTATGCAAACAAAATTCAGATTGTTATTTGCTGATGGCAGCATTGCTACACACCTCTTGTAACACAGAATCTTGTGAACATGTGCACCACACTAGAAAGTCCGAATACCATACTTATAAATGGCTATCAATTTAATAAAATAATATTATGTTTTCAGCTAGCTGGGGAAAAAACTATCTAGTAATTATTTCCAGGAAAAATAATATCATGTTGAAAGTCCAGTCATTAATAGATGGTTATTCCCTTTTATCAGGAAGTATATAGCACAGATAAA